GGGGGGGGCTTTATACTATGTGATGAGAAGAATCTTGAACTGGCAGCAGAGTTCTGGATGTATTGTAGTTTGTTGATGATTGTGGTGAATGAGCCGTACAGGATGCTGTTGCAGTCGTCCAGTCCAGAGGTGATGAAGCCGTGGATGAGCAGGAGAGGCACGGGCGGGCGATGTTTTTGAGATGAAAGAAGGCGGTTTTTGTGATGTGATTGACGTGACGTTCAAAGGAGAGAGTTTGATCAAAAATGATACCACGGTTACAGACGTGTGGAAGCAGGAACAGTGGTGCCATCGATGCAGAGGGAGAAGTTGTGATTTGGGTTCGATGATGAGGACTTCAGATTTGTCGCTGTTCAGTTTGAGGAAGTTTGCTTGCATCCAGGTTTTTATATCTGTGAGGCAGTTGGTGATGGTGGAGTGGGTGGTGGGGGTGATGGATTTGGTGGAGATGTAGAGCTGGGTGTCGTCAGCATAGCAGTGGAACTGGAGACCACGGAGGTGTATGATGTCGCCAAGGGGGAGCAGGTAGAGGATGAAGAGGAGGGGACCGAGTACTGAACCTTTGGGGACACCGTGAGAGACTGGGGCTGTATCAGACTTGAATTTGTTGATGCTGATGAACTGTTCACGGTCAGAGAGGTATGATCTGAACCAGGAGAGGGCTGTGCCAGTGATGTGGAGAGAGGACTCGAGATGGGAGGATGGAGTGGTTGATGGTGTTGAAGGCTGCGCTGAGGTCGAGCAGTATCAGGATGTTGAGGGAGTGTTCATCAGAGGAGAGGAGGAGTTAAAGACAGAGAGGAGGAGTTAAAGACAGAGAGGAGGAGGTCACTGGTGACTTTGATCAGTTTCTGTGCTGTGATTGAAATGGTTCAGACAGTTGGTTTGAGTCCAGGTGGGTTTTGAGTTGGAGGGCAACTGTGTGTTCCAGTGTTTTAGACAGAAAAGGGAGATTAGAGATGAGTCTGTAGTTGTTGTGGATGACAGAGAGGAGGAGTTGATCATCACAGAGAGGAGTTGATCATCACAGAGAGGAGGAGTTATAGACAGAGAGGAGGAATTGATCACAGAGAGGAGGAGTTGATGCCGGAGTAGTAGGTGGAGCGAGCAGTATTGAGAGGAAGTTTGTATTGCTGTATGTTCCTTGTTAGCCAGGGTGTGAACTGTGAGGCCGGTTTGGTTGGAGAGTCGCTCTAGTCTGCGTTTCCGGGATTTCATGAAGCGGAGTTCAGCGGTGAACCAGGGAGCAAAGGTGAAAGAGACAGTTGCGGTTTTGAGAGGAGCAAGCTGATCAAGGCAGGAGGATAGTGTGTTATTGTAGAGGTTGACCAGGTCTGAGGGGGAGGGGCTAAGGGAGGGGGTGAGTGTGGAGAATGTTTTGTGAGACAGGCTGACAGGGATGAGGGGCAGACAGACTTGATATTACGGAGAGTGATGGTGCGCGTGGGTTTGGGTTCTGGGATGTCGATCTCCATGATGATGGATAGATGGTCGGAGCCGGAGAGGTGGTGGATGGTGACTCCAGTGGAACAGACCAGGTCCAGGGTGTGACCGCGGTTGTGGGTTGATGTGTTGCATGAAGTTGAAGCATTTAAGCATGTCCAGAAATTCTGTGGCAATTTTACAGTCTGAGGAGTCAATGTGGATCTTGAAATCACGGAGCAACAGGATGGAAGGTGAGGCGGAGCAGAGCTGGGTGAGGAATCCAGAGAGGTCGGAAAGGAAGGCAGGGTTGGGTTTTGGGGGGGGCGGTAGATAATTGAAATGACCAGAGAGTTTGAATGTCAGCTGTTCAAATGATGATGGAGTTTCGATGTTAGTCATGCTGGTTTTTATGTGTCGCCGGTAAAGAGTGGCAATTCCTCCACCGTGGCCATCAGGGCGTCCAGGTAATGATATCCGGGGGGGGGGGGGGCTCCATCCCAGAGATGGGATGGAGCTGACAGAAGTGAGGTTGTAGATGATGAACTTGCACTGGGAGCCAATATGAACGTCACTGGGACGGACGGAGCAGAGGTTGTTCTTGTTGATGGTTTGTGAATGCGGTGTGAACGGGCAGCCTCTCTGTGACAACAGGAGAGCGTAGAAGAAGAGGAAGTAGTGTGTGTGTGTGTGTGTGTGTATTTAGTCACATGGACAGGATTGTGCTGTAAATTAGCCGATAGCAGGTGTACACCCAGCTTGTTGAGATGAATACCATCGTTCTGGTCCTAGAATGAAGCCCACGTTGTTGGTCCTGCAGGCGGACTGGAGCCATGTGTGGAGGACTCTGCTGAACCGCTGTGATCCACGACCGAGTGTCGGAGTACTGATAGAAGCAGACAGTCCAGTGGTTTAAAACGTGTAAAAGATTAGCGATAATTCTCAGAATAGAGGACCAGGACTGGTGATGAGGTGAAGCTGGTTTATAGTTCAGTTACCGTAACGTGTAGAATAGAGCCGCTCTCCTGTTGTACTGGCGGCTGATGTGACGTCAGTTTAAACAGAGAGAGAGAAGAAGAAGTAAAGAGAACCAACCTGCTCTGTGTAACCGAAGCTGAGGGATGAAAACAGCGTCCAGTAGTCTCCGTTGTCGCTCGTTCTCCTCTTTTGAACGAGAGAGTTCCTCCTCGTACTCTGCTATCGTTCTTTCAAACACACCAAATATCTCTTCAGCAGCCGCAGTTAGTCGCTGGTTGACTAAACATCTCAGCATTTGGACTTTAGACATTTTCACACAACCACACACACTGCGTCACAAACACCGTTTACTCTCATTAAACTCTGACTAGCGCTGTGTGGATCACTTCCGTCCCAGCTAGCATGCTAAGCTAACTCCAATAGCTTTGTAGGCTACCGGGAGATGAGTCAGAGGAAACACGTTGAGAGAAAAGTCCATTCAGAAGGTTTATCCGGACACACAGAGACCAAGATGTATCGGTAACGTTGATTCTCACGAACTATTTCTCATAACAGACAAAAAGGACTCTCCGTTTCTAGCAGACGCCATCTTGTTCCAAGTTAGCCAGAGTGAGGACAATCACTTCCGGTATATTTGAGTTTATGGACTTCAAAGTAAAAACCCAGTTGGTTTCCCGGTGAAATGACTACTCATGTAAAATATATATATTTTTACACGCAACACATCAACACTTGGTCCGCGCTCAACCGTGCTGCGTTCATAACAAGTGGGGATTTCGGAAGCTTGTCAATATACTATGTATTGAAGTTTAACCTTGACGGTCAGTCTATTTATTTTGTATTTTATTCTGAAGGTTTTACTCTTTACTAAGTAATACATTTATTTATTTATTTATTACATCTCTGACAATTTAACACATTGCATTCTTCATAAACGCAAACTGGTCAAAACCACAGATGGAAAACAATAATAATAATAATAATAATATAAAGCTGTATATGATCTTCACTTGACTGTAGTTTGATTCTGATTCTTTTATCTATTTTGTGTTTGTTTTTTATTTCTTTATTTAAGCAGCTTTTAACTGATTAATAAAAAATAATTAAACAAGTATAAATAAATATTTAAATATAAAATATAAATATTAATGTTAATATTAAATATAAGATAAAGATGAATACTGATACTACCACAGATAGGATCTAAAACAGATACAATATATATTTATAATTATAATTACAGTATTTTCTTCATAATTTCATTACAAACATTCACGTTTCTTGACTTTTGTTTAATTATGTTTATTGTTATAAACCAAAAGAACACATTTTCTATGTGACAACTTTCTTGGCAATAAACCTGAATCCGAATTAACATCATTTTTCATTTACTAAAACATTAGCGTTGTTAACATTATTAACGTTATTAACATTATTAATGTTATTAATGTTATTAACATTAATGTTATTAACATCATGACTAAAACATTAACGTTATTAACATTATTAACATTATTAACGTTATTAATGTTAACATCATGACTAAAACATTAACGTTGATAACGTTATTAATGTTATTAACATTATTAATGTTATTAACATCATGACTAAAACATTAACGTTATTAACATTAACATTATTAACGTTATTAATGTTATTAACATCATTACTAAAACATTAACGTTATTAACATTATCAACATTATTAACGTTATTAACGTTATTAAGATTATTAACGTTATTAACATCAGTACTAAAACATGAACATTATTAAGTGAAAAAAAGATGGAAAGTAGCATGGAAAGAAAAGACTAAAATAAAATACAAGTACTTCAAATGTGTACTTCAGTACAATATTTAGAAAGAGTAACAGAGTAAATGTATCTGTCGTTACCCGGGGCTTTTATTTGTTTAGATGTGACCCGGATGTTGGTGAGAGCAGCGAGCAGGACTCACAGCCTACAAACTAAAAACAGCCGAAGAAACGAGAGCGTCGGTTCTTCTTCTTCTCTGCCTGAGTGAGCAAGATGTCCAGACTCCACGGTCTGAGGGTGTTCATCAACCAGCGGCTCACCGCGGCTGTCGAGGACATCTTCGGACATTTTGAGAGGACGATCACGGAGTATGAAGAGGAGATGGACCGCCGCCATCGTGAGCTGCTCGGCGAGCTTTCAGCAGCTCAAGTGAAGCTGCGCACAGAACCAGGTGTGTTTATCCTGCGGTTCACTGATCGTGTGTTATGTGTTGCTGCTAAGCTAACGCTAGCTAAACCCGTCCACACAGTTAGCCTGTTAGCAGCTAGCTCCTGCTAAAGGAGGTAATGGTCCAACATTAACCCA